CACCTGTAGTTGGCGTCGAATGCATTAGTTACTGGTTGTACCATAAAACTTGTACTTACGAGTAAAATGCATTAGAACACGCACTTGTAGAAACATTCTTCGAATAGGTAAACTTTTCTCATACACGAGAATAAAATGAGAACGTTAAAGCTCATGATAGGTTGAAACGCGATAAAATGAAGAATTACCAGGGTTAAGTGGGCATTGTTGATGTAAATCCCCACTGCTGGCGGGCAATATTGTTAATACTCACTGTAACGTCTTTGTCCGGCCACTAATGTTAATGACTAAGTAGGACTGGGCAAAGTTGATATAAGCACAAATGGGTGATCACATACCATATTAATGGTAACGAAAAAAGTCTTGAAAAAAACCAGCTCAAAACAAATAATATTATAGCAGGGAACCTGGATTTGTCGTAAAACCTTTGCTTGTTTAATCTCAGCAATACAGTTGCTATATTCCTCAAAATTTAAAAAAAATTTGTTGTCTCCACGATTAGTTTATAAATTGACATTAATACTTTGGGTAAATCGATGGTTCTGTTAAGCAGAAATACTACCGGTTTGAATAGTAAAATTGACTTGAAATTAACTCGACTATCCAGTGCCTCTGCGCAGTAACCATACACTGCGTGCAACATATGTTGTGTCATAGCCAGCATGACAATCAGCAACAACTTATCGCCGCCAACTGTTGACGGTGATTTCAAGCTTATCTTTCTCCTCTGTTACTAAACTAAATCCTCAAATATTTTCAGTAAAACCCTAAAAGCTAAATAGCTGCGGTATGGCATACAGGTTTTGAGTCCAACTTATGATTTCACCAAGTTATAAATCACGTTTAGTTAACGTTATTTTCAAAACCACACAGCTTTAAATTTTATGGCCATATCCAGAATATTACACGAAATCGTAGTAAAAAAATGAAAAATTATGCTTGAAATTCAAATTTTGTCTAGCCTCAAATTGCTATTCAATCCTCCCTCAACAGTGCGCTTGTATCATGACTTCATCAACATTGTCCAACGTGACTGGGCATTAATGACATTGACCTTTTTACTGTCATTTCCCGTAATATATAAAATATTCACAAGCAGAGAATATGGGTTACTTTAGTGATAAACCAACCGTCTTCCGCCGTTATTTCAGTTAACGATCCGAAGCAGTCAACTGTGTCCAAAGCAAGGAGCATAATTTACGGTCCAATGTGAGTGCAAAAAATTGATGATGGAATCCAAGGAAATTATCAAACTATTGTAAGGTTATAATTTTCTTCTACCCCGGTATCACCTGCGATCTCTACGACATTACAATGATACCGCTTCGCCAATCTCTTCCTACGCACAGCAAAAAAGTTGGTTTATCAGATTATAAGTTTTTGCAACACAGACATTTCTGTCTGTCTGAAGACGTTTTTATAATTGCGTTCCAGCAAAAAAAAAACATAAAAAATCTTGTGGATATTGTGCTGGGGACACAAAGGGAGTTTTGACCATACCCTTGGAATAATAAAACATAGTTATTCTACCAAGACATACAGGGTGTTTCAGAGAAACATTTCTAGAGCATAAAGTAGATGAAAAAATAATACAAAAGGTCCTCCTCTTGCCGAGATAGAGAATCTAGAAATTATAACTCTAAAAAAAAGGTTACCTTGTTTTATAAAGTATCCTCCCGACAAGTATTTCAGTGCGGACCTGTACTTGATCGTGCGGTCTTGGAGCACCGGCTTGCCCTCTCCTGTGAGGTCTTAAGTCACCTGATTCACGAGCCCTTTGTACTACATTAACAAAGGCACGAGGGGTTGGTTGCACTCGATTGGGAAACCGATCCGCATAAATCCGTGATGCCGCGGCAGCATTTTCCCTTAAATAAGAATCATGTCCACAAGTTCAGCATTTTCGTAAACATGTGCCATTTTTTATTTCGTTTGAGCCACGAAAAAAACACCACTATTCACTCACGCGTTACCGACTGAAACATTGACTGACATCGTCATAAACGTTTCAAATTCTTTCGCTTTTTTGTTTCCGATGCGATGAACCGATAAGGCGGATTATATCCGTTGTTGCCAAACTCGAGCACATAATATTATTATTGAGACAGGGCGGTACTCAAACTTCTAAAGGGCTATAACTTTGTTACTTTAATTTTGCCACAAAAATGTTAAAGGAAAAAAACAGTTCTGTATATATACAGGGTGACTTTGAAGTTGAGTCATTAATTTTCAGATAATGATTGTAGAAGGAAGATAAACCAAAATATGTGTGTAAAAATAAAAAAAAAATTAAAAAAATGGTTACCTTGTTTTATAAAGTATCCTCCCGACAAGTATTTCAGTGCGGACCTGTATTTGATCGTGAGGTCTTGGAGCACCGGCATGCCGTCCATATGTGAGGTCTTAAGTCACCTGATTCACGAACCCGTTGTACTACATTAACAAAGGCACGAGGGGTTGGTTGCACTCGATTGGGAAACCGATCCGTATAAACATGTGCCATTTTTTATTTCGTTTGAGCCACGCAACAGACACCACAATTCACTACCGACTGACACTGACTGTATACAACTGAATGAAATAATTGTAAAAACATCGTTCCAAATTCTTTCGCTTTTTTGTTTCCGATGCGATGAACCGATAAGGCGGATTATATCCGTTGTCGCCAAACACGAGCACATAATATTATTATTGAGACAGGGCGGTACTCAAACTTCCAAAGGGCTATAACTTTGTTACTTTAATTTTACCAGAAAAATGGTAAAGGAAAAAAACATTTCTTTGGATCAGATCTACTCACTGTTAAAATAAACGACTCAACTTCGAAGTCACCCTGTATATATATATATTTTCGGAGTGGATCAAGACATTGACTTCAAATTTGATACACGTAGTACTTACATCATAGTCAATACACACATAGATGTTGATCCTGAAACTACACCAGTGGCATAGAAATATAGAAATTTAGTCACTTACAGAAGAAAAAAGAACATTATTTCCTACGCCACTGAATTTTTACATCCATTGCATTTTTAATAAGGTAGGTATTCAATTTTACATAAAATTCCACTCTTGAGAAATATTCGAATGACTACTTTGAAAATAAGCTGTTTATGGTTAGAAACTGAATGTTAATTATTAGGAGAGTAATGCTAACTCACCACATCGTCATTCGGACAATATCTATTCATGTTTTGTCCTAATTCAATCTCATCAGTGGCGTAGAAATTTACTCCAGTCTGAATCTTGGGACCTATGTTTATAGGATTTTTTTTGTTATTTTTTAACGAATTTTTACCCTAGAAATATATATTGCTAGGAAACACCGAAAATTGACGCAAACAACGCAGTTCAACGTTCGCGGCAAACAAAGGCGAGTAAGTAGAGGTAACACAAATATAATCTTTTAAAAGGTATTTTAGAACTTTTGAACTGAAAGATGACAATTGTACATTCTTTTCCGTCAATCATAAGGAACATAAATGAGGCGATATAGAATTGATGATATTATATGATGACCGTAGTAGTGTTACGGACTTCACAGAAAATTCTGGTGTGAGGGAAACTCAGTGACTGGCAATTTGAATTTGATGTTGTCACAGTGTGTGTGTTAACGCCGATAGTGCAGTGAAATTAACTTAGCACTTTTGTTTCGAACAGCTCGAACGTGGGTAGTCGATGCCTTGAGGCCATTCAATGGAAATAGTCCAGTAAAGTTAACTTTGCTTTATTTGGCGAACTGCTTGAACCGGAGTAGTCGATGCGTGGGGCGGTTTATCAGGAATAGTCCAGTCAAATCAACTGTTCACGTTTAATTGGCGACTGCTGTTACGGAAGTAGCCGATGCTGTCACGCGGATTAACGAAGATTGTCCAGTAAAATTCTATTTGCAAGTTTATTTGGCAAGCAGCTCGAATGGGAGCAGTCGATGCCGTGGGGCGAATCAACGAAAATAGTCCAGTGAAATTTACTTTGCACGTTTAATTAGCAGACTGCTCTAACGTAAGTAGCCGATGCTGTCAGGCGGATTAACGAAGACAGTCCAGTGAAATTCACTTTGCAAGTTTATTTGACAAACAGCTCGAAGGGAGTAGCCGATACTGTTAGGTGGATTAACGAAGATAGTCCAGTCAAATTAACCTTGCAAACTACTTGAATGAGAGTAGCCAATGTCGACAGTTAGATTAGGGGAGACCGGGGACGGTTGACTATAGGGGTAGGTAGTCTAACCGCCAAAAACTTGTCAACGATATGAGTATTACGTCATCCCGGCCCAGCCGCGCATTACTCTCCTACCCCCGCTCAGTCGTCCGGAGCGCCACGTCGCGGAAGCACGCCGTTTTCGAGCAGTGACACGTGATTTGTTTTCGTATCATGGAAGTAACATTTCCATATTTTTCCATCAGACATTTACACATTTTATTTGCCTATTAGTCATAGTGTTTGATGAGTGCATATTGATAATATTTCATGTATTATTTCTTAAGCTGATGGCAGTGTTTAGGCAACCCAAGCCATTGAGACTTAAAATGGCGTCTGGGGTTGGTAGACTAACTTCTTTTGGGGCTGGTTGAATAGTTAGTCAACCAACCCCAATATAATTTGAAGTTTAAAATATCTCGTAAATTACCTTTTTATTCGTGTTTTAATATGTATTCATTTTGTTACAGTACAATGAGGACCTATAAAAGAAAGACGGAACGAGCTGATACACCAAAAGATGTCCTAGAAAGAGCTTGTCATCCAATAATTTTTGACACAAAAAATATTAATGCAACTTCAAAACAATATGAGATTCCCCCCCGTTATGTGGCGAAACTATAGGAGAAATTGCAACGTAATCCGAACTTGACCAGAGCAAAATTAACTTTGGACTCCGTGGGATATATTAAAAATAGACAAGTTTTCACTGATGAAGAAGAAGCTTTAGCAAGTTATGTAAAGAAAGCCGCTGATCTTTATTATGGACTGATACTATATGAGACCCGAAAATTAGCATGTCAGTTCCAATTCCTGATCACCATACAATAACTGAAAGTCACTTTCTGGCACCGCAATGTTTATCTGTAAATACAGACCAGATTACTACCTCAACACCCTCTCCTACAAGATCTTTGAGGACTGAATGTGAATCACCTTCTCTTTTTGACGAAACAGTCAATTCTGTATTTGAACCGGAACTGAGAGAAAACCTCAAAGCACCAGAAAACGTTCATTCTACAGGAGCAAATGTGCCTCCATCTTTACACAATCTAAACCTTTCCTCAACTTCAGCAGCAACATTTAAAGAGCTAAGAAATATTCGGAAACGTAAAAGTTCTATATATACCGACACCCCGGAAAAACTAAATCTTTTAGATATGAAAAACAAAAGAGAAACTTGTAAGAATAAAAAAAACAGATACAAGGACAGAATAGAAAAAGGAAAAGGGAAGGGTAAAAGAAAAGGAACGGATAAAGTTGATGAGATTGCTGATGACACCGTCGATGAAAATGACGGTAATGCTGTAGATACAGATGACGAGAGTACGATTTGTTTAGAGTGCATTGAATCCTACGTCGATAGTGTTCCAGGCGAACAATGGATTCAGTGCATAACTTGTAAGTTATGGGCTCATTCCAAATGTGTAAAAGGTGATCTAATGTTTTTTGAATGCAAAGATTGCGTTTCTGATATTGAAGACTTATATTAAAAGATATAAAGGAACTGTTTAATTAATGAAACTAATAAATGTTTAAATAAAAATTAGGAGTTGATAGTTTTGTTAAAGACTTATGGTAAGATAATGTCTGTAACTGATTAAAATTGTTTTTGGATAAAAAGTTTTGTTAAATTATAAAAAAAGTTTCATAACTTGACTCTTCTCATAATTTGTCTACTTACTCCGGGCATGTAGTCAATCTACCCCGGAGCCGGGGTAAATTGACTAAGAATTGGTGTTCTGTAAAATGCGTGAAATTATGATCATTATATTGAATAATGGACTAGTTTTTATATTTTTTTATAAGTTCAATAGTTCTTCTGTCCATTGATGCAGTTTTATTGTCTGTATGTATAAAAGCACAAAAAATATGTATGATGTTGTAAAAAACTAGTCAACCATCCCCGGTCTCCCCTAACGACGATAGTCCAGTGAAATTAACTTTTCACGTATATTTGGCCAACAGCTCGAACGGGAGTAGTCGATGCCGTGGGGAGGATCGACGGGAATAGTCCAGTGAAATACACTCTAAAAATTTATTTGACAAACTGCTTGAACGAGAGTAGCCGATGCTGTCAGGCGGATTAACGAAGACAGTCCAGTGAAATTCACTTTGCAAGCTTTTTTGACAAACAGCTCGAAGGGAGTAGCTTATACTGTCAGGCGGATTAATGAAGATAGTCCAGTCAAATTAACCTGGCAAACTACTTGAATGAGACTAGCCAATGCCGACAGTTAGATTAGGGGAGACCGGGGATGGTTGACTATAGGGGTAGGTAGACTAACCGCGAGTTTACAGCAGCAAAAGATTGAGTCGGTAACATGAAAAAAACTGATGAATAAAGCAATTTCCCACGAGTGGCAGCCACTAGGAACGAACTCCACCCATAACTTGATGTAAGAAATTCCGAACAGAGTTGTTTACTGTTCCTATACTACATTTTCTTGGACACGCGTATCTACTCCTACTTGAAGCTGTTGGTGGATGTTCCGTGAGATGACAGCCCTATTCGGGATGTCTCTCGGGAGGTGTATATACGCTATCCATAACCGTTCTGATTTTGCCAGTAGCCATTCCCAGATGTTCCAAAATGACAAAAATAACTGCGCATAATCAGAACAGTTATGAAACAGTTCTATGTAGCACCAGAATAATGCCGACGAGAACCAAAGCTAAGCGTTTTTGTGCTACTTCCAATGTCTTCTTATTATGCAACTGACCGACATCCCATTATTCAAGGTGATGTTTGGCAACAGTGCAGCATCATCAGCCAGATGCAGCATCGGCGAAACGAAAAGGCATGGAAGAATTAGAGAATTGGATCACGTTTTATAAAATAACGGTATCGGACGCTGGTTGCCTGGCTGGGAGATTAACACTATTTTACCGGGAACCGTGAACCGAAGGTGCAAAATTATTTATTGCCAAGATTTTTCTTCTTTTTAACCCATTAGACCGTGGAAGCATACCACGGCGGCGTTACGGCGTATACTGAAAAGTGAATGTCAGATGGAATGTAGGCACTGGATATAAGCTGTTAGCTTAAGCAATGTACCGTTTGGTGGCTGGAAATATCGATTTATCCGAGTAAAAATGGGAAATGAGTGATAGCACATGTACCAATCCGTGATATTAATTTTAGTGTCCACCATTAGCAATAATAATAAATGTTAGATGTTCGCATTTCTCATAAGTTTTAAGATATAAGGTTGAGTGACTAATGAAACAAGAGTCTCACACTTCGGGTAGACAAAACTAATGAATATAGATGAAAAGTTCTGCATGATTAAAAATCGAACGAGCCAGAATGAGAAGCTTGGCTTGGCCTGGCAAGTCTGTCTAGAAGGCATAGAATACCCAGTATAAAGTTTGGCATGGAGATGAATATTCTCAAAGATTTTGTGGATAAGTACAGGATATTTGGAAATTAGGGTAGCTCTGCAGTATGCATTTGTTGTGCCTCCCAGTGGCTTCACCTATGAATGAGTTTTTCTTTAACTATGATCAAAAGTTTCATGAAATCGTACTCTAACGGTTAATATATAACTAATGCTACTGCCCAATAGATGGCGGTGCAAAGATAAGCCTTATAAATTTCTCTAATTACCTGGAGCAGCTACTGTACAGTTCTGTGCAATGCTTGTACGACTTTCAACAAGTGACACGTTTTGTTTGACGTTCGGCAAAATTACCATTCAATCGTACCACATTCCTCCAAAAATGTTGGTTCCGGTCATGGACCTCCACCTCCAAGCCGTGTCAGTTCGTCGAGGATTTATGGCGTTGTCTGTTTCGAAATTCCATTTCCACTGGGATGGCAATGGAGTTGGAGGATGGAGGATCCGTCAGAAGGGATTAAGAGTTTAATCAGCGTGGAAATACAAGAAAGGGAGATGATGCTTCCGTTACGCGGCGCTACGTGATGAAATTGCTGAATCTATGATGACGTGCAACTGGATCTGGTGGTAGAAGTGTCATGGTTAATTCTCCCAAAGTGTGTAGCCATAGCAGCATAAGCTCAGGACCCAATGAACAAGTAAAAATAACAACTGTAATTATAGAGCCTCTAAACGGCCAATAGAAGACAACATACGAAATCCTACTTATTGCAACTTAAGTAATGCAGGCTGCCGTGACGCGTACAATTATTGCCTGATTTTGAAGCCCTGCTGATGAGGAATCCTGGAAAGTGTGTATACACATTGCAGGCAATATGGATAAAATGTAGCAGATACATAGCCGGATCAATGTGGCCAATATTGCAACAAAAATATTGCCCATTTAGAATTACTAACTACTACCTAGACAGCTAAGTTTCATATTTAAATTAACTTTAACACGCAGCTGCCTCCCGTTCTTGCACACATGAAGTGGGTAATTAAAGATCATTGTTTTAAACAGCGCTATATTTTATATCACATATCGACATAAGGTAAATTCAAATAGCGCACCAATGACAAGGTGGCATATGACGTTTTCGAAAGATCATGTACACCAGAGGGACACACGCGTGACCCATAGCACGTTATTAACAATTAAATAATAATGATTCAAAATAAACTAGGCCCATAATAATTCCGGAGTCTTGAAGGGGAAGGAACTTAATCTAGATAAAAGTACAAAAGTAACAACTTTTAAACGAATTACCGAATTTTCGAGCCATTTGACCTTAAGCCACTTGTTACTCAGGAACAGTCAACTGCAAAGAAAAGTATTAGAATCATTTTTTGTTAAAATAATCCAAAAAATTTAAACGTAAAACTAAGTTAGAACAATTTTTATTTTTTTCGGTTTTAGGCCTTTTTCATCAAAATCCGAGGGAAACTCCCTAAGTTATAGGTGGTTACAAGGGCGGATTCAGGATTTCGTCTAGGGGGGGGGGCACAAACGATATTTAGGGCTGGTCATTTTTAAACCTCAGTGGAGCTTCTGGAATTTATCCTATTACTCCTGAAATCCATTGTCTTCTATCTGGTCAAGGCCAGCTTGAAAGAAAAAACATGGAAATTGTTCAGAAATCCTCAGAAAGCCAATATTTTATTATATGAGTACAAAATAAGTATGTGGCATTTATAATTAACTAGTATAACAATATTAAAGATTCAAACATAAGAAACTTCATTGTTCTGTTGACCGACAAAAAAATAAGTACAACATTCTGAGGGACCCCGAGACATATCCCAGTCCATTCCACACAAAACAATGTCTTTGATTGCGAAAACGAACATGAGACCAAAAAATTCACATTATCGTATGGACGCTAGATAACACAAAGAAGGATGTCTGTAGACCATCTATATAGATCGTGTCTCGAGACCGTCTCCAGACTGCCTATAGACAAATTGCGCAACGGGGTGTACTAGTATGTAATAAGCTTAAGGATTAAGACTCTGAACTGCCCATTAAAAAAATCAAGTAAATGGTGCAATTATATCAACAGGTGATAAAAATATCAATAGATATAGCCATGACAGAAAGTAACACAATGGTGTTAGATTCCAAAAGCAAATCTCAGACGTCTAGGGGGGCGCGCGCCCCCCGCGCCCCCTCTAAATCCGCCAGTGGGCGGTTATAAGATTAGCGGACAGAGCGACAGACAGACAGACCGACGGAAATGAGTGACATGGTTTTTCGTGATGTTGAAGTCATATAACATCAAAAAAAAAAAACAATATCTCATCACTCTCAATTTTCGCGATTACAATACTTCCTCGCCTGTGGGCGTGAGAAGTAAAACCGGTGAAAAAACTATACTACTCAGTCGTAAAACAGTAACAAATTCTTGGAAAAACTGGTTTAAAAAAGTATGTAACTTTTATCATGTACATGTTCTAACACTTCAAGAACTACAAACATGCTAGCCATTATCAACACATACCTAATTCTTAAACTGTCAGACCCATGGCGATAAGGCATTTCGGTAGTTTATTGTATTAGACGGCGTGACAGCAGTCAAGTCAATAAATTCGTTACGACTGAATGACACCGTGACCCGAATGTGACAAGAAAAATTAAATAAACATTTTTAAACAATTAAGTCCTACGATCAGACTAACGAATCCCGATAAACCAAGTCGGTCGTCGTACTATTTATTATCTATGGGTCACTTCGGTAGTAACCTTGTACACATAATAGTAATTGAAGGATATAACAATGCCAGTTTATGACGTTTACAGTTTGGTATATCACTCTACCAATATAGTAACGTCAACGAATGACCATGTCCAGCAGCTAACGAAATGGTAACAAAAGGGTCAGGGGTTTTTTGACCATGTAAACAACTCACTAACCCCGACCAAATATGATGCTCTCGTCCGTCCGACCATGTACAGCTGTTTCGTGTCTCCTGGCTACTCATCAGAATGGTCTAGGCTTGGTCTCTCGTCTCTGGGACTGGGGCACCGAACGAAAGCATCGCAACTATCCTCTATCCAGGAGGTACGGTCTATCAAAATAAGACAGCCTAAAGCACCATCTATCACACCTGAA